AAAAATGTGACCGCTAGAGTCTTAACAAGGTTTTTCTATTATTAGCTCTGGTGACCTAGTTTTTCATCCGTGATGATTCATGTTCGAACTCATTCGAGCCATCAACTAGATAAGCATCCTGACAAAGTTTGATGATAATTGGGGCAAAAATGTGACCGCTAGAGTGTTAACTATTGTGATTTCACTGTTATTTCTATCTATACTTTCATTTTAAGAAGCTTTTACTGGCAGCAACACAGTTAATCTGTGGGGTCCTGATAAAACTTAAAGCACATCAATTTAAGGTTACGCATTGTGCCAGTTATTTAATCCCTCCTGATTCTAGAAGCTTTTCCCTAAATATTATCCATGGTAGATCTAGAATCATGTGGTTTCGTGACTTCTGTAAAAATAGTTAATTGCTTTATTGCACATCCTAGATGTTAAAGTTTGATTGTATATAAAGCAGCCTCATTTAATATGTTTATCTAAATGATAAATCAATCTGAATACAATTGAAAACACTGCATATCTACGAAATTTGTAATGTACTAGTACATTTTCCATGTCGGACATGTTGGACTGTTGACTTACGTAACGAATGCATTAGATAGATCTTTGCTCCTTTATGATGATTTGTTTACTAAAAGTGAAATTAAAAAATGTGACATTGAGATATCTTTATTCTAATCACAAGTTTTACTTAATGTTTTTTGTTGATTAGATGCCGATTTTGGCGTAAGAAGATACTAAGGAGCCTACGAAAAATCTTTGGAGCGTCTTTCCACAGAAAATCTGTGAGATTTCTTTCCCACGAAAAGAAAATAAAATAAAAAAAAACTTTTTTCCACAAAGTTGTTGATAGTGTAGGGACTGTGGCATATAAATAATCAGCTCTCCTTCATTTGGGAGCTTTAACATCCAAAATGTCCCACTGTGCACCGTTTTGGCATTCAATACTTTGGCAATTATTCGAAATTGTTTTGGTGCATAAATTTATCTTTGACATTTTACGATTTTATATTAAAGCAACAGACATCTACTTTTGTGATGTTTTGTTTTACTTTAGCAATGAAACTTGGGAGATTGTAATTTAAAACAGCATTTTTATGTATCTTAACGTTTTTTCTGACATAATAAATAGTTATTGCTCATGAAAGCAAATATTTCTTCATTATATACATCCATTACATACAGAACAGGCTTTATATGTTGCTCAGCTATTCTATTTATTAAAAAGGGATATGGTAACTTTCTGAAAGGGTCATTGTACCCCAGAAATGCTTTTATCAACATCCTTCAAAGTCTTTTTAATATTTGTGCACCTTAATAGTTAACCGAAAACTTTTTTGGCAGTAAATGAAACTATCTTCTTTTCATCTGTTGTTTTTTAGCAATAAGTGAAGTATTATTTTGTACCAATCTACAACATGCATCAGAAAAAAATAATTTTTACTTCTTTAGACAGGGCTAACACGAAATTCATTGTGCTCAAATAATGATCTTAGGGAATATTTAGATACTTGGAATGGAACCTGCAAAAGTAGCTATGAATGTGAAATAATTTGTCGTAAATGTAGCAAATGTAAACAAAGTAGTATTTCGATTAACATACAAAATACGTATTGGAAAATTTGATCAAAACTCAATACAGTAACGTTACACCCGTGACATACTTACTTCATTTATGTTTTCATTTGTAAATATCGTTTTAAATCATACCGGTAATAATTTTTTATCATTATTTCACTTTTGTTTATCTAATCACCAAATGATGTGTTTTCGAAAATCATGTTTATATGTTTATGCTTATTGGATATTTGTCTGAGTCATTATCGGCAGTGTTAAAGAAGATATGTTATTTTATGATTGATTAAGATAGTATATGTTCCATTTCTTTTTTTTTCACGTCAAAATGTTTTACTTTTAATACATATTTAGCAATTTCAGCATAAATCTGGTGGCAAGTGTCTGTACATTTTTCCTCAAATATTTTAATTTAGGGAATTTTGCAAATGACAAGCATCTAAAAGAAATGAAGTTGTAAAGCATTCAGTCGGATCTCTAAATTTGAATTATTATTATGTATAATATCTTTAATAGCATTAGGTGTTAATTATAAGGGTTTAATGAAAAAAATGTGAACGCAACTGTGTGTGCTTATTTAAATGCATGTTATTGTATACCTGCGTGTGCAATTTTACTGCATTAAAATTAAACAAACTCTTAGACTATAAATGTTTAATTCTATTCTCTTACAAAATTATTTAAAGACCAATCTGGCATTTTAACATGAACAAATGTTAAATTTTATTTATTTGACGCACTTGTAACTTTATGAAATCAATTTGAAAGAGTTCAGCCTTTTTTTTCATTTTCTATACTTTATATTATATGGTTAAATTAAATTGTTTGACGAGTAACACATTTTCAGAATATTTTTAAAGACAAACGAGACACGATACATAGATAATAAGCTGAAAAATATATTTACATAAGTTTGAGTATTTGCTTATAATAAGATTTTGTACATTTGAATTTTCATGTGAAAGCTCGTATTTTAATGTAATGTTAGTTGTCCATATGCAAATAAATGCATTTAAATTCTATAAATAAAATTACATGTATAGTGAAAAGAAAGCAAAAAATGATGTAAATAAACTTATTAATGTGCTAGTAACGTCGCGACAACTTGTGTGTAGATTAACTTTAAAATTTGCATGCCTCGATATGAGCAAAAAGATTTCAAGAAAATCAAACTTGAGAAAAGTACCTAGATTGCATGAAAGGAAAAAGGTTTCAAAGTTCAAGAAATAATAAACATCTTATATGTGGTTAATGACTGATTTTGCAGTATTATTCATTGCATTTCTAACACACTAAGGGCTATTTTCGCATTTTAGGTGAAGTTTTAGCTCCGTCTGCAATTGGTTATTCAATTTTCTTTAGATCTCCTAACAATATTTTGCTTTTAAATATATTTTCAAAACTCGTGAAAATTAGCATTAATGTAGAAGCATGGTGCTTTAAGATCTTATATCATCCTTATCTCAGACTGGCAGTTTTAAATAGAGCAACTCATGAATTATCATTTAGAGATCTTGTACAAAAATTACATGAATTCTGGCTAACCATTGAATCAATGGGAAGGAATGGGGTATATCAGGTGTTCGGATTCCTCTGCCGTCCGATAAAAGAGACCTACGAAATTATCTCATGACAATTTTGTAACGATGTAATATATGCCTATCGGCAGGTTGTTTGTCTAAGAACGTAATATTCGATGAGAACGTAAAGCTCGAAATGTTTTTTCTGTATGCTATCAGGAGGGACAATCAAGTAGGCTGTGAACGGGTAGTCATTAAAGTGTATCAGTCGGTTGGTTTTATTTGAATTGTAAACTTCATCATTATTATCATTCTGACTTATAAATCCCAAAACAAGAAGCGGTCTAATTTGACATTTGGAAATGATAGGTTATAATCGCTGCGTTAGAATCGAATGCGTCGCATCCTGTGACCAATAGAAGTCTCTGTTTCTGTAAGTTAGTAATAGTCGAGATTTTAACGTAGCGACAAAAAAGGAACTACCCCCGACCAAAAAATAACGATAAGGGTCATGAATGTGATCGAAATACTGTGGAATCATGAATCTAAGAGTTAGGATAAAACAAAAAGACGATACACGATAAAATTATGATAACTTTGACGCCACGAACAACATTTGCTTGGCCTTTATTTAACAATAACTTTGCAGCAGGAGAAAATCAAGCGTGAAATTCGGAAATGCAAGTCTATGTGCGTGCAGCGTTTATGAGAACATTTTAGCTAATGCGCCGATTTTTTTCAAATTCTATCTACTGCGTGGGAACGGGTAGCGAACTGATCAATCCGAGCTGATCAAATGAGATAAAGATATATTTACAACTGACGCGCCATTAAATCTATAATAACTTTTGTTGTTTAATTTCTTGTTTTCTACTGTATCCGGATGGGAGGCTAGCGCACATTTCAATTTGATTTTTCTTTCTATTTTTTTAAGGGGGGGGGGGGAATTTTCATTTCACATATACAGAAGTGGTCATATGGTGACTTTCTAGCTTTAATGGCGAGGAAGACCTCATATGTTCCTTTTTACATTACTTCAGGCACAAACGGGCACCTGAGTAGAACTGTCAACGTTCCTTAAGCTTATTGGTAAGCTTTTTTACATGAAAGAATCTGACGTTCTTTTAGAGATTCGAACCCATTATTTGTGGGTGATATCTCCATGAAGATCTGGGTTGATCAAATATTATTTATAAGAAAAAGTACAGAAGGATGGTTAAAATAGTTTTTTTATGATTTCATGAGATAAAATTAATTTTAAACAGCGTATTTACCGTCAACTGTTATATATATATTCATTGTTAACTGTAATTGTTATTTTCTGTCAACTGTTATTGATATTTCATGTCAATTGTTAAAGATATTCACTGTCAACTGTTATGGATATTCCACGTTAATTGCCGTGGGTATTACCTGTCAATTGTTTCAGATATTCCATGTCATACTGTTATAGATATTCACTGTCAACTGTTATATATATTGACTGCCAATTGTTAAAGATATTCCCTGTCAACTGTTATAAATTTTAGATGTCAACTGTTATAGATATTAACTTCCACAGTTATAGATTATGCATTGTCAATTGTTAAAGATATTCACTGTAAATCGTTTGGCGCTTTGTCATGCTATCGCCAGCGACAACACGACGCACATGAGCGTTCCAAATCAGCCATCATATATATATCTATATCTTCATCTCAAACGTCTAGAGATATTAAAATAAAACGTTTTACCAAGAAATTAGCAAAATGACAACAAATTTATAATCATGCATTAATGTTGTCCGTGAATTTAGCAAATCTTAATTGGTCGCGAAAATTTGCAGGTTTACAATATTATCTTGGTAGGTTTTTATTGCTTGCTTAAAGATGCTTTGAATTCCGCTTGACTTGTGCAATGTGTTTGCATGTTGCTTAAGTGTAGGTGTGTGGCTGTGTATTTTCTTAATATGGAGACTACGATTGCTCAGCAAATTTAGGCGATTTATTAAAAAAATTGTATCCGGATTAAATTTCAACATCCGTCACTATGTCTGACATTTTTATAGCATATATCCGGGATATATCTCTTTAATATACTGAAAGCGTGGGATGGATGGTAAGTTTAAAAGACCTGTGCGAGCGGCAGCGTTCGAACATTTTGGTATTTCGCAGTATCCAAAGCATGACAGGAGGAACTATGATCGTTACGCTGTTTGCAGTCTTGGTAATTAGAACATTTAATTTATAACATTTTATGTTACTTTTAGATTCACAGTTTATACAATGCTGATTATTACTTTTGGAAGAGTAATGTGTGATTAGTGCTTTGTTTTCATAAGGAGGTAAGGGTTTAATTTTGATTTTGGAAAGAAACTTTGAAACTTAGATAAAACATGTAAAAATCATTGAATTTTTGATTATTGAAATTTGGCATGTTTGAAGGGTTGTTCATGAATTTTGGACAATAGAAACATTACTCGTATGTGCTTGATATTGCAAATGAATATTAATTTATCTAATATGCTTAACTCTAGAAATTCTTAAAATTATCATCAAAATATCAAAAAATTCTTTGTTGTTACATTTTGTGTATTTATAGTAGTATAATATGTAGTAAAGAGACCGCTCGCCAGAGTTGTGCACTATTTGGCCTCAGAAGTGAACTGGATAGTTTAATGAAAAGTCCCCGACGTAATTTTAATATATTACGAAGAGAAGCATGGGAAATCAAATACCTGAACCACTCGTGCACGAACACTCTTAATATAAAATAATACATTCTCTCCAGCTATGAAAATCAAAGGAATTAAGGATATGAACATATGGCGATTATTCAATTATTGAAATTCTAAAAATATTATTCACCGGGAATGGCTTTAGAACTGCTATACCAAAATTAAACATATTTACAATAATGTTCTTATTATAATTTTTTTCTATCCATATTTTAGTCAGTTATGTATTTTCATGATCTGTTTTCAGGTGCTATTTGCCTCGTTCGCAAGTTGTGACATAACTCTAGAAAACCTGTTTGCCCGCCGAACCCCAAAAAGTAAGTATTCCGTTAAGTGTAGAATTATAAGGCATCGTAGTTAAGTGCCCACACATTTGATTCCAGGGAAATGTTTGCAAACTAGTAAATCATATCCGTCTTGTTCATCTTATGAAATTGCTGGATAGTGAGTTAAAAATTATTCCCTTTTACCATTTAGTAATGCTCCTTCATACAGTTTACGATGCCTTTTAAGTTCCGCCTACTATCGGTAACAAATTTGATCACTCTTGATACAAGTCAATAAATAAAAGCTTTGTTCTAAATGTAGTTAGTGAGATATTTATGATGGATAGTATTTCAATGTTATCATCAAAACAACAACCACCATACAAACGAATAAAAACATGAAGCAGGTGTATCATTGTCTTAAGCCGGTGATAGGGGGCGTGGGCAGTAACTTCGATTTCCAGTACCGTCCATGAACAGGCCCAATCAAACCGAGCCTGCAACATTTTACAATTTTGCCGTGCTGGGCTTTCTTTAGGGATTCTGCTTTTCTCTGTTTGATAATTTAAAATTAAATATAAGTCTTTGAAATTTAGTGGCTGAATTTCAAAATTGTTACTGTCAGGCTAGTTTGTCGTAATATATCGCTATCCGTGTAGTTTAACAAGGCACTTTTAACTTTATATTTTCATCTTGATATTCCAAATTTAGTATTTTTTTAATTCTAAACATGAACAATTAAAGAAATCTGTCAGGTTATTGATGAAACGTTTTTTTCTCTGACTTGATCCTGCATGGATTGTGATTGATATTGTTACTGTGTGTATATCACACTAAGTCTTGCAAAACATTATAATATGTATGGTCAGACCGATTCAACCATTTTGTTTGCTTTTATATTGATTTAGTATTATTATCTCTAACATTTTACATGTTTCTTAATTGTGATATTTCAGTTAGGTAACATATTAAGATACAATTAATCTAACTGCTTCTATGTTTCCAGACTTTGGTTGAGACAACACATTTTGAAAACCAACATCAACAAATGTTAAAGCAAGTTTAAACAAAATTTATTAAACTATTCTCAGAGATTGAGGCTAATTGTATGCTTTGTGACAAATAAGAATGAATTCTTTGCTTTTTACTAGATGTTTAGCTTTATTCTAGTTATATTGTTATTATAAGTAAGTTATTTCAAGGTTATCTTTCACGTTTGCCATACCACGTAACATTTTATGATTTGGATGGCGCATAAAACCAAAACAATAGACAGTCTAGATTTTATATCTACAATAACTTTTTAAATATTTAATTATTTATGATCAGATCAATTGTAGGACCTTCTTATTCTAGTAGGTAGCACATATATAGAATTTCAGATGAGATAAAATAGGAGGGTGAGACTAAACGTTCGAACAATACACGTGTTTTTGAATAGGTTTCTCGCTCAATTTTGCAGAGGGAGAACCCCCCCCCCCAAAAAAAAAAAAAAAAAAAAAAAAAAAAAAAAAAAAAACACGGCCTATTATGGACTACCTGCAATAACTGCTTTTCATATTCATTATTTTGTACGGGATAAAGTGTAGATCTATCCTTTTGTTCTAGCCAGGAAACTAAATAAAAAAAAAAAAAAAAAAAAAAAAAAAAAAAAAAAAAAACACGAGTATATCAAATTGTTCAAACAATCGGTCCCACATTTGTACTTTATCCCTATGTTTGTTACTGACTGGAATGAGAGCTATTATCTATACCTAAACCTATCGTATATAAAAGGCACCTTGCACACGCAAAATACTGGATATAACCCAGTTTTGTTGTTTAAACTGATGTTTATACAATCGAAATAGTTAATGAATGCGTTTTTTTACTTCAGGACGTATTGCGTTTGAAGCTCACATGGAAAACGAACTGGCACATTACCCTTTAAACACGCCACTTATTTTTCCCGTGAGTACACTGAACGAGGGCAATGGTTATAATCCCAATACTGGTGAATTCACAGCACCAAGAAATGGTGTCTACGCGTTTAATGCACATGCCTGTCACAAACCTGACACCAACATGGTGTTTGCCATCATGAAGGGCAGTGATCAATTAGCAGTTTCGACTATCTATGGGAATTCCGTCTCTACATGTGGTTCTGTCAACACCATCGCGAGACTTAAGGAAGGAGAAGTTGTTAATGTTGTGGCAAAATGGTCAGACAGTCACTTATGGGCAAATGAACACCGTTGGAATTCTTTTACTGGCTATTTTGTATACGCTTAGTTTAACCTTTAGTTTGTTGCTTAAAGAAGTGTTCCATTTATTTTTTATGTCTAGAAGCATTGGTACAAAACAGTTTGTAATAAATAGAACACACATTTTGAATATTCTTATTCTAAAAACCGCTTGTAGTGATAAATAAATAAGATATAAACTTTACACTTATTCCCATTACATGAATATATTATCAAATGTGAATAAACCAATGTTTATAAGTGTAAAGTCTTGCGATAAAATGTATATATCGAAGACATCTTCATTTTAGATCTATATTTATGATGCAATAAGTATACAAAATATTCATTTACATTCGACTTTATAAAGGCTTACATTGTTAATTTTTCAACATAATTCTCATCTAAGGTAAAACAACTATGAGAAAAAGAAAACATTCAATAACTTAAAAGTGATAAACGATAAAACTATAGATGATAGTGTATTTGTTATTTTGTAGTTCAATACATGTGCTTTTTGCTTTTGCAGTTTTGAGTTTTTCTTATCTTGAAATGTTAATTAATGACCCGCGCCATGACAAAACCAACATCTGCGCAGTCTGATCTGGATCCATGCTGTTCACTTAAAAACCCTATTACAAGTAGAGAAACTGATAGCGAACAACATGGATCCTATCAGACTGCATGGATGCGCAGGCTGATCTGGATCCATGATGGTCGCAAACCCATTATGTTGGTTTTGTCATGGCCCGGCTCAAATTATTATTGTATTGTCATATATAACTACTCAGAAGCCCAATAAACAGATTTCGTTGCAATTTCAAGTTGTTGTGTTTTTGTTGTTGTAAATACATCTCATACATCTGATAATACCGGTTAAAAAGGGGCCTGTCTTGGGGCTTTTGGGTATGTCGGAGTAAAAAAGTTTTATTTATAAAATATCCCCAAAAAAAGCTAGAAAAAAGATGCGAATATTTTTATGGAAAATTTTTGAAATTTTAAAGGGCTTGTTTTTTAATTTATTGGTAGATACTGCATTTTAAAGATAAAGGGAGATCTTTAGGGAAAAAAAAAAAAAAGACAAATTTTGCCGGAGGGGTTTTTTTTTCAGGGGAACTAGGCCAGATGGTTGGGGGGAATTCTACCCTTTTTAACTTTTTTAGAATTAAAACCCCTTTTTTTGGAATTTTTTCTTTGGGGGCAAAAAAACGAAAACCCAAAAAAAGATGTTGTTTAAGGGCCGAAATTAACCAAATTTGTTTGGGGACATCAAAAAAAGGTCATATAAAAAAATTCCTTTTATATGGTACCTCCCTTCATTACGCAAATTTCCCAAAACCCTTTCTTTTTTGGGCCAAAAAATTTCAAGAAAGAAAACCCTATTTAAGAATAAAAACAAAATATAAAAAGTATAATCCTTTTCAGGGACAGGGAAAAAAGAAACCCGGGTTTTAGGAAAAACAGGAAACGGGGATTTATTTTCACCCAAACCCCGAAAATTTTCAATTTATCGTCCCAAAAACCAAAAAAAACCCCTTTAAACAATTTTCGCGCTTAGCTTTTGACAAAAAAAACACAAAAACAAAAGTTGCGGCTTTAAAAACATTTCCAAAAAGGCCCCCTGTTTTTAAGGGAAAATATTTCGTAATGTTTTTCAACAAATTATTTTCACATTAATTTTTAAAGTTTTAAGCCCAAAAAATTTTAAAAAACATTTATTTTTTGAAATAAAACCTTATCAAACTATGTTAGAAAAAAAAGCCGTTTGAAAAAAAAAACAAGGCTCGGGTAAAAATCAACCCATAAAAACATTTAAAAAAAAATCGTTAGACTTTTAACTGCCCTCCTAAAGCTTGTGGGAAAATTTTTTGTGTTTAAGTTTCCTTTCAAAACACAGGACTGTTGGGAAATGCGAAAGGGATTTTCCTTAAAAAAAAATACTAACGTAGATTTTAAATTGATACAAAAATATCAATCAAAATCTCATCAGACTTTTATTTTTGAAAGTTTAAAGATATTGGTTTTATAAATAGTCCATAACAAGCAAAAAAATTTTTTTGTTTTGAAAAACTGAAAGGTTTTATAGTGTAAGGGGGGTTATTAACCCCTTTTTCTGGGGAAGGGCCCCTTTTAAAATTTTTTAAAATTTTAAATTTAAATTTTTAAAGGGGGCTTTTTTAATTGAAGGCAGAAAGAAAAGGTTTTAAAAGAAACTCTTTTTGAAAACGGCGGGGGGTTTTAATAATTCCCCGGATGCGAAAAATCAATGATAACCAAAAGCCAGGCTTTATCAAACGCCCTTTCAAATTTTTTATTTTTTCCTGTTTTTGTTTTTTTAAGGGGGAATTTTTTTAAAGGGTCTACCAAAAGTTTAATGGGTTTTAAAGTGAAAGCGGGAACCCGAAATTTTCAAATTTTAAACCAAAAAAGTTCATTCCTTCACCCGGAAAAACATAAAAAAAATTGTTTGGGATAAAAGTTGGTTTTACAAATTGATTTGGGAAAAAGTTTTTTTTTCTTTTTAGGGAACATTGTCTGATTTTATATTTTTTCATCAAAAAATAGAAAAGGGGCCATTTATGGAGTAATGGGGACAAAAAAATCATTTTTTTCCCTTTTAAATTTTTTGGCATAATGGTGTTCTGTAAATAATGTAAAACACTCATTTCACTTACACAACAAGTAATGAACCGGTTATCTATCGTGGTTCACAATATAAAAAAAGAACAGTTTATCTTTATATTCTTCATATTCAAAAATCTAAAATTTACATTTTAAAACTCGATTCCCACTGCAAATCACCAGATAACACTATTAGCACGTCATGGAGAAAATACAATAACAGAAGAATGCGGCCTATATCGGAGCTGATTTTTTTTTGAAAAACAGATATGTCAAGTGCTTTCCTGTGTGCCTTGTTTTAAGCATGTGCTTCCCACGTTCATAAAGCTGTTGGAATGACATTACAAAGTAAATTACATTCAGCAGTTTGAACTATTTGAAGCACATAGACATTCATTTTGGTTAAATAATCACAATGCTTTTACCTAGCCAAGGCGGCTTTTATGTCCTCATTTAACTAATAAAAGATTTGGGGAAAGATGAGTTTTATTTAAGGTTTTGGAAATGAAGTTTATATTCTTTATTTTGTTTTGTTTAATGTTTTAATAAAAAGCGTATATCCTTTATTTTTTTTTTTAAAAAAACACCGACGGTCATTGTTATTTTCTTTTTAAATGGGTGGAAAAACATATAAAGGCGAAAAAAGTGGGAACGTTTAAGGGTGAAAGCGTAACCCGGGAAAATTTTAATTCAAAGGAAAGCCCGTCAAAGGGAAAAAATTTTAACAAAAAAAATTTTCCCATTCCCTTTAAAGGGATTTTTTTGTTAGGTTTCCCAAAATTTAAAATAAAAATGTTGATCAACACCAAGCGCTTTAAAAAAGGGAAAGAAAAACCAAAAAAAAAACAACAAAAACCCAAAAAAAAAAGAACCCAAAAAATTTTTTTTTACGACAAGGTGTGTAATATTGCCCGTATATTTTCAATCGAATGGTTAAAAAATACCATTTTAATAAATTTTTACTCAATTTTTGTATTTTTTTCATAATTTAAAAAACAATTTTTCGATTTTTTAAATCCCTTTTCACAAAAATTTTTTAAAAATTTCAACCAAAAAAATTTTGGGAAAAAAAAAGGGTCAAACTTTTTTTCCCAAAAAAATTAAAATTTAAAAAGTGTTTTCACAGATGGGGCCATCTTTAAAATAAAAAAGTTTTAAAAAAAATATTTAAAAATTCTTTTTAAAAAACCCCCAAATTAAGTGCAATTTCCTTTTTTGAAATACATATTCACGTTAAAAACTCAATTTTTTTAAAAAGGAAATTCAATTTTTAAAAATTATTTGGGGTTCGTTTATTTTACCTAAAGTACATGATTATTGCCAAAAAGTTCCGGATTTGATTACGCCAAACAATGTTGTAATAGGTAAATTTCCTTTATTGGCAATATTTGTCGTACGGGATAAAGTTTCGTTTTTCGGAACATTCTCATCGAAATTGTATTTGTTTAAAAAAAAAACGAAAATACAAATGTTTATTCTATATTTATTTTTACACAAAAATACGCTTATGTTATTTTGGGGGTTACAAAATTTAAGTATAAAAGTATATATAATTGGTTATGCTTTTGTCCAAAATTGTGAAACAGCTCATGCAAATAGATTATATTCAAATATATGCCTTGCACTTTTTTTTAGGAAAAACTTTATTACCCCACAGGACGGTTGTACAGATTAGCGACCCTTGTATAAAGATATCACTCGCTCAAAAAGCTTAATTTATCAAAAAAATCTGACGTTGAGGGATTCTGTTTTTCACTATATCATTTGTTTTGTAATATTTCATTTTTTGTTTTGTAATGTCGCTACGACTTTTTTATCATTTTGTTAATTAAAATGTTATATTCAATGGTGAATGTTTGTTTAGTATCCTTTTAAAAAGATCTGAATTGTAATATGTAAAACATATATGAAACTTTTTGCCAATGACATTATCTATTTTGACAACGGTATTTTATACCTGATATTGGTGTGATATAAATTTTTTACCGAACCGTTTTGATATATTGAGAAAGAGTTCAATTTCAGTTGACATGAGGCATTGAAATAGAAAATACTAACAAATCAAAGCAATATTAACAAAACATGTTAACACGATTAACTAAAAAGCAAAGCAAAACAATATCAGAATATGTCAAAAAATGTCTGAAAGATATTGGTAGAAACGTTACATTGTCTTTCATGAAGTCCAAACATGTTTCTTATTATTTAACTTTAATTACACATTCAAATATCAGTAACATTCTAAGAATCAATAATGATTTGTAATAATTAAATATTTGTCTATTTTTGTTATTTTAATCTAAGTTTTCACATGGTCTTACGTGCTTGTACATATCCGCTCTTTTTGTCTTTTAGGTATCATGGCATATATATCATTTCTCGTTAAAACTCTCATGGATCCGTCTAACTTTAAACTTTGAGATATATCATGCAACATCTGGCCTTTTGTGAAATCAGTTAATACTAAGCATGATGATGAGGACTTCGACGTACATTCATTACGTTCCCTATAAAGATATTTCCAAGTATGTGCTGCTCTGGCGCTGTACTTCAAGGAATGTAAATGATTGAAATCGAGCCCTTTCTTTTCCATACTTGCATTAATATACATCATAAACGGAGATGTTTACATCTTCCTTGTATTCTACTATCATTGCGGTTAAAAGTTAAATCTTGGTGTACCTTTGGTCGAAGAGCGTAGTTTTTGTTGAACCATATCGAGGGCACCGCAATCATGTCCGTCAAACCTTCCGTACCTCATACATACTATTAACTATTTGCAATCTACTAGGTTTTGCTGCCGGAAATCGTTCATATGTATCTTGTTTTTATGAGCGTACATTGTATCTAATGACACTTTATGCGTACTCCTAGTTACTATGAATCGGATGTTCGTTGCAGTCGTTTTACGTTGCTCCATTTTCTCCAACATTTACATTGTTAAATTAGACATTAATCACACTTACTCATATTGCATTATCATTTAAACTCAAGTCACAAGATATTTGCAGTGTAACAACATACAACATCTATCAAGAATCAAAGTGCCTTTAATCTCACACAAATGAATATGAAAATAACCTACTTTAACTTAAGTAAAGGAAATCTATCCCTGTTGAATTGTGTTTAGTTGTGTTGGTAGAAATAATGTTTGAAAGTACATATGAGAATGAGATATAATTAAATCACCAATTATAATATA